ATCCTTTTGTTTCGCGAATTGAGGAAATTCTCCAAAGGTAGGGAACCAGCGGCGTGTCCAAATTCGGGTTTCTAGTGAGATACGGATGGCTATTATATGCGAACAAAGAGCCCGGCAATTAGGTCGATTTGCAGCAGTGGAGCTACGATGAAGAGGAGGGCACCGCGGGCGGCTCACTCTAAGTTCGAATACCAAGCCCTGTTTGCAAACAGCTTGGTGTTCTACCTTACAGTGAATCGACTGCGGTATCGTCGACAGCCGCACGTCGGAAGAAGCAACAGAGGAAGACAGAAAGGAGGAAGATTGATAAAACGAGGCAACAGAGCACGCAGGGGCAGAGAGGAAACATATTACCGGAGATACGTACTTAAGTGGACGTGAGTCCGGCGTCATGGAAGGAAAATCTCTTCAAGATTCTCCGCATCTCTCTCTCTCTAGGTTCCGCCTTACGGTCGATTCATTCTCGAGGCGCTATTTTATCGGATCAGATTCCTCTTTTAATGATTTTCAGACAGAGTGCTTGTCTTTGGATACTATTTATTCTATCTGTTTTTCTCGTTCTTTATATCTTTCTCTTTTCTACTCGTTTTCTTTGTTTCACTAATTTTAAACAAACTCCTTTTCGCTTCGAGAATGATTCGACCAATCCTTTTCGTATCTGTGAAGAACACCATCGGCGTCATCGCCCACCAATTTACTCCGCCGAGAAGAGAGCTAGTCAAACGGGTTTAATTAACGTTAATCTCGCTTTGAGCGAAATTGCCCAATCGACGTCCGCGCGCTTCATGATGAAAACGTTGAGGATTATTGCATTTACGTACAACGTGTACAATGACAATGTAATAACTTTTACTACGATATTACTCTGTGATTACATTCTTTAATGATTTCTCGCTTGATCTATAAAACTTCCAAAGGTACAATCGAAATAGCTCACAGAATTCCGGCAGGTACGGCTTATCATATAAAGTTGTTGTACTCATTTTAACAATTTATTCCTATTTTTTTCTAGATTTTCTAGATTTACTCATCACTGCTCATTTTAAAAAATAACATTCATAACAAGTAAATTAGAATTCGATACAAGTTGAAAATAAATTTCCCCGTATAGACGAGTTCTGTCAAGAGTTCCCGCACAACTTGATACCAACACCCGGCTACTGGATCGAATGCTCGCGACAACAGATCACGTCGGACACAATCTGGGACGAAAGTGAGAGCGAACATGAGGCTACCGATCCTGAACAAGCGGAAGGACAGAGTACGGAGGATCGTTCGTCGATATTGAGACGGCAGGATAAGACTTCTTGTTTGTTCGAAGCGGAAAATGAAGGTGATACGGATGATCCGCCTCGAAAGAAGACTACCATCGAGGAGCAATGGGAAAAGAATCAGGGTTTCGAGCTCACCTCCGTCGAACAAGAGACCTATGAGAAATATTTCTATGGCTCGGAACATTGGAATTATTTTACAAACGATGAAGATCTGGGACCGGTGATACTCAGCATTAAACAAGAGACGCTTAATAATCGTGACCAATTCAGGATTTTAGTCAGAGCCATCAGTTACACGGTTCATGGCCTTATTCCTGCCAGTTGCGTCTTTGCTGACCGGTAATTCCTAAATTACATTTTACTCTCATGTTACTTATGTCGTATTTAAAAATTTTTCTAAAAAATTAATTTATTCATTAATAAGAATAAACAAATTATTATATCAAGTAATAATTTATCTAGTTTTAAATAAATATTTTAGATTCCTAGAATAATAAAAGTTGTGCGGTTTACGAGTTATCTTTGTGTTTTGATACATCATTAAACACCAACGTTTCGCGAATCTTGCATTTAATGATATATCAAGACACGGAGATAGCCCATAAACCGCGCACCTCTACAAAGAAAATACTCATGAAAGCCTCCAGAGTATAATAAAAATTGTAGTAAAATTATATATGTAAAATTGAAATTTTGAACTAGAATTGTACTAGAAATTTATTTTAGCAGTTAAACAAATTGAAATTGTTAATTAAATGCATGTTACAAACCAATCAATATCTCTTCAAAGTACATGAGACATGATAGATTTTTTTTGGCAGATATAATCGAGAAGAAGTGGTACGAAGTCTCGGTAAGGAGGTGAACATCAATCCACCGTTAACCCTGGGCCAATTACCAGATACGCCCGAAGAACTTCTGAAGCTCGATCAAGTTTTTATCAAGTCCGAGCTGAAGGTGGGGATGATTTATGTTCAGGAAGGGCAATATAACGAGGAAGAGATACTCGATAACAATGATAATTCGCTGCTCTTCGAGGAATTCCTGCAGATTCTCGGGGACAAGATTAGGTTGAAGGGATTCGACAAGTACAAAGGTGGTCTCGACACCGTACACGATTTGACGGGCCTATATTCTGTCTACACCAACTGGAGGGGCATCGAGATAATGTTTCACGTGTCCACCTTATTGCCTTACGAGAAACACGATCCTCAAAAAGTAAGTTATTTATTGCACTGTTATTTCAGTTGTACTTTCCTTGAATTTTCTCGTTAACGCGACAAATAAATTTTAGTGATAAAAATGCCAAGAATTTAATTAAAAATCTTTACTCTTTGTTCGTGTAGCTTCAAAGAAAAAGACACATTGGCAATGATATAGTGTGTGTCGTATTTTTGGAAGCCGACAACACGAGTTTCAGTCCAGCTTGCATCAAATCGCACTTTTTGCACACATTTATCTTGGTGCGAGTGAGTCCACGGATAAAGCGAAAAATCACGAGATATGAGGTATCCGTAGTTACAAGGGATGAAGTTGGGGCCTACAAACCGTATCTATGGGAGCAAAGTGTCTTTGAAAAAGGTATTATTACATTTTCATATAAAACTGACGTGACGATAAAAGAAATTATTTTTATTTGAAAAAAAAAAAAAGAATTTATATATAAAACGTTATTGCATCACAAGGAAAGTTTATGTTTTTTTCCTATCATATCGCAAATATTTACAACGTTTAATCGTTGGCATTATGTATGCATTAAATGACAATATAAATATATATTCGCAATAGATATTGATAAATATGTAATTTGCATAATAATATAATCTTCATTATAAATCTACATATACATGGTTTGCGACAAAGTTTAGCAAATTTGATATTACTTGATAATTTCTGCTTTGACATTGCACTGCAATTATCGAATTTTTAATCAAACAAAATAATGACAATATAAATGCAAGATTAAATTGCTCGCTATTTTAGCATTGTCTCAGTTTAAAATCTCCTCTATACGTTGAACTTATCTATCGAATTGGATTCTCGGGCGCAACAGGTCCAATGTTCCGAGAATGGATATTAACGAAAATTGTGAATGGCGAAAGGGCGAGTTATTCTGCACCAAAATTCGCAAGGATGCAGGAACGAACGAGAAGTCAAATGTTGGAAGATATCGTAGCAAATCTCGCTAATCACGCGGAAACAGGCCAGATTCCGAAACCATATAGGTAAGACACGATTATAATAAAATAATACATATTAAATATATAGTTCACGATTAAAATGGTTATTTACGAAAAAAAGAATTTGAAAATATGATATTTTGCATTAAACTAACAATATGATTATTGATTTTTAGACGAGGTTCTTGGCGACCGATTGGACACATGAGACCGTCTTCACCACTGTTGGATTCAGTACGAGATCAATTCGAAGATTATGATCAACTAGCAAAAGATTTCACCAGAGTGTTCCTCAATAATTCAGCAAATGTGACGTTAAATACTAGTCTTTTTGACGTGTCTTTCCTCGTGCCGGGACATCAAAAACAAAAAGTCCGATTCATCGGTGTTAGGGCGATTCTAGCAGTAAGAAGCAGGTAATAAATATTTTCTTTTCTTCGAAGATTATGCACATAGCATTTGCTCGTTTCGTAATCAAACAAAATAAAATTTAACCAAATTAAATGAAATAGAATTTATATTTAAATATAAATATATTTGTAGGTATATAATAATGCTTGCAAAAATATGTATAAATTAATGTCTAAAAAATTCAAATTACTACTTGATTATATATTTTGAATATAAAAAAATGATTTTTTCAATAATTTATTGATTAGTCCTTTCAGTTAATTTATTAATTTCAAATATAACAAGTATTTTCTAATTAGCTCAGTGTTTCACAGATTGATAAGTATAAAAGAAATATAAGTCAAAAGAAATATAAATAAACAAGTAAATGCAGCTAATTAGACCGACTGATTAACAATGCAAAAGACATTTGCTAAGCGGAAGCATGAACATAAAAAATTCGATATGAAATAAATTCGATATGAAATATGATGTGATATGAAAATTTATCGTATTTATACAGAGTGTTTCAAGAAATGTTATACGGAATTCAAGCGGGCTTCGGAAGCCCGCAAGTACCGGTTGCTGAGCTACTCGCAAGACCAGCACCAACATTGCTTAGCCCGCAGAAGCCGAAGAGCTCGAATTTCCTACAAGTTCCTGACATGGAAAGTCCTAGGTACGTTCTTGATAATTATGAATGTTGTCGTTAGCTCGTTATTTATTTGTTAGTTTTATGAATCTATTTCGGAATCAAATATTGATATCAAAATTCGCTCATTAAAGTGGAATGCGTCATTACGAAAACTGGTAAGCTTTGAAAATCAAAATCGTTAAATAAATCAACGACAAACAATTGTTAAACAACTATGCAAAATATTATAAAAATCATTGGCGATTCGAGAATGTTTGGATCTTAGAATTTGCGTTGGATTTGGAGTCTCAATCAAAGAAATCAAGAATGTGGATTATGCGATATGTTACATGAGATAAAATTGGATTTCTCTAAGAGAATTTCTCTGAGAATAAATTGAAAATATGAACGGTGAGACTATAATGCCTGCGATTTTTAATGTCGAATGTTTCTTTTATATTTATATCGTTATTTGATCGTAATATATGTATCTTTTTACACGGCACATCCATGTCTCCTATCCTCATGGCACCGCATGATTATCTCGTAATTTTTTATTATTTATTACGTACAATGCAAAAATTGCAAATTTAATCAAACCATGTATCGTGGACTTGTATTGGACTTTATGTAGCATGCTCTTTTTTGAAAGGCACAGTATTCTGTCGAATGATACGATTCACGTGGCAAATTTGCCTAGCTTTGATTATTAAAGAAAAACGATAATTATTGTTTAAAATTCTATGAATGAAGTCTGTCGTTTGCTCGTCAGTCTGTTATCTAAATTCTTTTTCTCTCATAATCTGTATCTCTTATAAAAAAAAAAAAACGTTGTATAACATGTATATTCTTTTTTCCACTCGTTAGTATGTTGATATCAAGTATGCTTTCATCTACTTTTATTGTGGCATTATCGCCAATAATTTTACATCACTGCAGTTCACTATTATTTTTTATATTCTAAATTTCATGTAATAATCAACTGTATTGACTAAATTGGAAAGTTTCTATATCTGTGGATTCGATGAATATGCGCACAAATTGTTTCGATTCTTCGCACGTTACAAATTGTTAATTCCGAGAATAAGCTTTCGTCGTTGTCTCGTTTTCATTTCGTGATTTTATATTCCAATATTTGTCCTTTCCAATTATCAATCCTTCCTTTCACCTTGAACCCAGAATCATTCTTGTCTCTGCGTGAAATACCTAAATTCCACCTCCATACCTTGAGGTGCCGCTCCGCGGTTTCTGTGAGATACTGGTTCTGATGTGTTTAGGCCCAAAAGTGTCCCTTCATCGCCAATGGTGAAACGGGCCTTCTCACGACTGGGAACGATCACAGCAGGATGGGGAAGGAGTATTAGAAAGCATGGCAGCACTTTGCAGAGCGAGGATCGAAAGCGATGGGCCAGCTCGCAGGATTGTAGTAGTAGGTGTTTCAATCCTTACAAGGGAAAGGATCTAATTTATCTTATATCAGATACTTTTCAATTTTATCAAGTATAGTGCATAATTAAATTTATTGATAAATATACTGTAGAGAAATAATAAAATAGTAATCCTAATGTTTAATAATGGCAGTGAAAATATATTCGTGCAATAGCATTGCGTTTCTTTTAAAATGGAAAAACAGAATTTAAATATTTTTTAGATAAAGAAGCTAAAGACAAGGATAAAGCCCAGTCATTGGCAGTGCCCCGACTCAGTGTTTGCGCGGACGCGCAGAAAGTAGATAGAGCCAAACTAGCACAGACCGAGGTAAGTAAGACGTTAACGTAATACGTATCTCAATATTGAGAAAAAACGATAAAAGAGGATTCTTAGAAAGTTATCACGCGAAATTAAAATTTCCTGCCAAATCTATAATTTATTATATTTATATATACATATATAATATTTTGTAATATATCTTATAAGATTAAATATCTTCATTATTTTGTCCTAAAATGAGTTCTAATATTTAATATATTTATTTCACTTTTATAACCAATAATTATGATTTATATTGATTAATACTAAATTAGTAAATTATTTCTTTTATATCTTAAAAATATTGTAGATGGATTTGAAAAATCTCGAAGTCCACAATTGATTGTGGTTTTAATTCTTCTATAAAAGAAACAAATATTTTCAGTTTGACATCATCGAGTTCGATCCAGAGACTTTCCGAATTTTGCTGGACTATCTGCATACTGGATCCTGTCCGCTGACGTGCAGCAACATACCTGGTCTGATATGCGCCGCGGAGCACTATGACCTGCCAGAACTTCTTCAGGCATGCTTTCATCATGCCAAACAATTTTTAAGGGTCGAGATTGTCTGCGTAATGTTATGCGCCCTCGAGAATTATTACTGGCGTTACACGTCCGCTTCAGAGTTAGTCAACATGATCCTCGCATTTATCGAGACACGGGCTGAATTGCTCTTTAATCATCCGGACTTTGTCACTCTGAGTGAATCGATGGTACAGATGATCATGTGTCGTGGCCTTGAATTGCCGGAGGTCAAGAAATTCGAAGCAATGCTGAACTGGGCAAAACACAGAATCAAAACTAAATCGACTAAGATCGATGCCAAAGTGGAGTTCAAGTGTATCATGGACAGGCTCAGCAGGGATCTCAAGTTACATAAGATAACACCCCAGGAACTAATTAGGGTAAATATAAAAAAAAATGTATTATATGATATTGAAAAATAAAAAAAGCATCTTAGTTTAAATATATAATCATTATATTAAATTATATATAATTTATTGTATTAAAAATTATACGATACGATTATCTGCTAGTGTGAAATAAATATTATAAATGATTTTTTCTTGTTCTTCTAAATAAAAAAAGGATTGCTTCTTATCTTTCCAGATCGTATTACCATCGAAAGTTATTAAGAACGAGAGAATCCTAGAAACTCTAATGTATCAAGCAAATTCAGGCATATACAGAAACATCGACAGCTGTTTGGAGGCATATCAGAAGAATCTACAGGATCAAGAAAGTTTTGATTGTGGACTATGAAAGTTAACCAACACGCGAAAGATGCCGCAAGAACGACGTGAAAAACACGTATCGATAAAGGAGTGATGAATTCTTCAATGTTGGAAAAATTATTCTCTTGTAACTCTTGTTACAGCGGCCATGTCGTGTTATCGGATATTATACGTGAATAATCGAGATCTTTTCGTTGCACTGACTTGTAATTAGGACATTCCGACTGCGACCGGGATGTAGAAGTCGATAATTATATTGTAAGACTTGACACGAATTATGATAGATTTCTCCGATATCACACAAGTTGCTAAGCTACTCGATGAATAATAAGTTTAGACGTAATCTCGGCACCATTCGCGTGAACTTTGTTTGATACTTCTATAATAATTCAATCACATTTGATGGCGTATTAGGCTGCCATCTTTGTTTTATTATCAAAGTGAATTAGCCATGAAGAGAATAATGCTAAAGCAGACAAATGAGGTATATACTTAATACAGAATTTTTAAAACTTTTTTTAAAAGTTATTTCACGTTCATAAAGTTATTTGAAAAATTATAGAAAATTTTTTGTTTCGAAAATTTCTTAGCTTATCCGATAAATGTCGATTAAATTCGAAAATATTGGCTTACATTGATTAATATGCAAGTTTAACATATATATGGCAATTTTCATGCATAATTTTATTTTCCTATACTATAAAGTTTTCTATTAAAAATTTTCGTATATATTGTTTTTGATTTTTTTTAAATACAGAAATCCTTTTAACGATGCTTCCATAACATTTTTTTCGTAATCTCCAGTTTAATGAACTTTAATTATCACTTTTAAAATTTTGCTTCCATTTTAGAATAAATATTATAAAATTAAAAATGATTCTTATTCAACTTTTCTATATCTTTTTTCTGAATATATACAATATGTTATTTTAATTCAATATTTGTGATATTTGTAATTCAATATCGTTACAAGAAATCGTTATAAGAAATATTATTTTTGATAACATAAGCTCTTCCAAGTTGTCATAAGACAGAAAAATATATATTATATTGCAGAATTAAGCACAAGGAAATGAAGCAGAAAGCGGCATAACGCTAACTTTCATAAATAAGAGTTATCACTCTCGCACACAGAATATGTTATTAGTACATTCTTAATATGTGATTAAAAGTAAAGTATTGATTGAGATGAGACAATGCGCGGAAAAAACACAATTTTCATACCATTAATTCACACAAATAAAATCTTTGATCGAGATAACTAATTAAGAAAAACTTCTATTATATTTCGAAACCACAGATGAATGATGAAGATAACAGTAATATTTGTGTGACAATGTAATTTGTCCTTTAACTTTGGTAAAATGATGATGACAAAAATAACTAACGAATCATCTGATACAATAACGTTGTCGACATAAAGGATCTTTAGTGATCATCGATCAGAAAGGCTTTCGCTTGAGAGCATGTATCGTATCGACGGCATTTAATAAATTGCCGACACATGACAATCTGTACCATAAAAGAAAGCTCTATAGTCTAATAACATATAAGAATGGTTTACTATTATGTAAGTTTAAAGGGATATATAAATATATATATATATATATATA